ATGATCGACCAACGGCCTTCCCGCACCCCTCCCCCGGCTTTTCACCGCCCTTCTCTCTCCCCACCGTCATCAACCATGACGACAATCCATGCATGACATAGAAGAGAACTCCACCACACAATGAAAAGCAAAAAAAACAAAAGATTCGATCACGCGCCACATCTGGATAAGGGTGTTCGGCCTGGGCATCGAAAAAGTGGGGGTAAAAGGAGGGGTGGAGGGAAGAAGGGGGGGGAGGAGAGAGAGAGAGAGAGAAAGGAAAACAAGCTGCTGCATGGCTTAAAAAGGAACTAATGCGTGGCGTTGATTATCTTTATTTTCTTTCTCCTTGTGGGTTTTCAGATTTGGTTGCCATATATTAGTTTGTATTTATCTGATAACCGAGATATTGACGTTATGTACTAACTCTGGCCTTGATTCTCTCCATTTGCCACGAGGGCTATTTTCTTTTACCCAATATACGAGAACAGCGAACGAAACCGGTTCGGACTGCATTTACACATCCTTTCTGTTTTACCCTGTTTTTGCCGTTCCGAATGATCCGAGGCACAAGAGAAGCATTCGTTGAGGTTAGTAGAGTATGAACACGGAATCGATCTGAGTGGTTCTTTCTGCGGGCTTTTTCGGGTGCGAGATGGCGGTGCGCATCAGATCTTATTGGAGATGCATGTTTGCTTGAGAACCTATCAGATTAGCCTCGGATGGGGGTTCTCCGAGGTCAATCTATCGAGAACCGGGGGGCCTTGACGCCTGATCTGACGTGGTCTCTATTCCAGTATTCCTTAGATGTAGAAGTTGTATCAACATACACTATCAGGACTCGGGCTTGGGTCGTGAAGCTGCCCTCGGAAAAAATGACTGCTTGCACCACAGGGTATGTGTGCCACGGTAGCCTTTGGCTCGACCATGTTGATCATGAGTGTTCGACAGACGGGGATCCTCAAGGCTGAATGATAAGAGGTTGACCTTGTATCAGTCTGTCGTTCCATTAGAGCCCAACATCCGAGGGAGATGTTGATCACAGACTCGTAGCCGAGCCGGCTCTCCCGGTATCTGCCCATACCTCGCTAGCAAGAATGCTCGTACACTTTGCTGAAGGATGACTGAGAGTTGCATTCCACGCATGACTTCTCGACGCAGTGGCGACAGTCTTAGAGGACGCTGGAGAAACAAGCCCAATGCAAATACTCCGTCATGGGCAAGGACAGAGAAGGACAAGCTTGAGGGAACAGGGTTAGCGAGTAAGTCTGCAGGGCTCCAACAACCGTGCGAATTCAAGCCTGAACTATCACCCCACGCCTACAGTAGGACCTTCCATTTGCGGTAAATACAACCGCATGATGTCTCGCTCTTGCCCGGGGCTTCCAGCTCGGACGACATCGGGTCCCTTGAGTTGAAGCCGAACGAACGCAATCACCTTGTCCGTTCGACTGTAAGCAAGAGGAGGCGTACATCATCACTTCAGATGTAGCTATACTCGTCAGGATTTGGCTCCCCCGGATGTCCACGAGACCATGCCTCGTTATGGCTCCCTGTCCTTGACGGTCAAGCAAAGGCTTTTCATGCACGACTCTTGGTTGAACTATCGGAATAACTGTCAATCATTGCCGACTGCCGTCATATGTGTCTCAACTTAAGCACATGTATGATCCAAATCCACTTTGACCAAATCAACACCGATACTGGGCCATAACCCGCAATATCATGAGCTAGGGCCATATTTTCAAGAGCGGCTTGCGTAGGTCGACAAGCTGACAGGCAGGTCTAAGCCAGCCTCCCTTCCCCGGATGATTTCCGATATCCTAGTCTTGCTCGTGATGTTGGCTCGAACAGAACAGAATCTCAAGCTTACGAAGACAGTATCCTTATCCGCGAGACCAATCGGGCATGCTGGAACTCAACGGTTAATGACCCTGGCATCATCGAGGTGTTCCTGTTCAATGACGAGATTCTGGTTATAAAAAACGATACGCTCGCGACGAGCACCGTATGCGCCATGTTGGACACCTCGCTGATCCCGGCACGATGCCTCCGACTCGTGTTATAGGTCTCGATGCAGAAGAGGTAATGCTGCCGTCGCTAACTTGATCATCACACCGTGGGCCGAGTGCATTCGATGGGGTTATAACAAGCTCTGCTAATCCAATGACAGGTCGATAATATGCAGCTCCTCGGGGGTCAACAAAGTGTCAGATCCACTCAACCCCAGATCGAGCATCGTGCATGATGGCAGGAAGCTACGAAAGAGCTCCAATCTCAAAGACCCTAATTGCCTTCACAGCGCCTCACTATTCGCGAACTGGCCCCGTCGTCGGTGGGCCCAGGTTGTATTCGGCTGACATGAGCATTCGAACCAATGAAGATGGGATTATCTCGGCCGTACCACGCGTGCGATAGTAGGTATAGATGTAGTAATCCCAGCTAGGGGGACGTTAGTAGTTAGAAGGAGAAAGGCCGAGAGCACATCGTGAGAAAGGAGTCGGGAGTGCGCAGGATCACATGATGACCTATCACCTGCAAAGCCCTCCATACTGTGGTCATGTCACATGCTGCCAGACTTCAGAACCAGGAAGACAGAAACTGGACATCGAAGAGAAGGAAGTGAGAGCCACAGCCAAGTTCATCCATCGCCGGTTACGACCTCCATGGGGCTCCAAGCCTCCAAATCTCTGACCTTCTCCGCTTCTGTAGCGTTAATCTACCTCGCATCGGAGGATGTCTGCAGCTATCAATTTTAGGATAAGAGCACAGGGGCGAGATTCAGCCATGGATGTGCATCCTTGCTCTTTCTACTATGATGTGCGGCGACATTAACTCCAGCCCATGGCTAGGATTTGCCATTGTACCTCTGCTGGTTTTAGACGCTGGGTCAACAACCAGTCCTGACACAAGTACGAACGAACTTCTCTGCGCGCCCATCCTTTGTCCCGCGCGAGGGAGTAGTGGTTACCCATTTCGGCACTATCTATTATCATCACCATGCGGAGAATTGTGGAGAATCATTGCCTTGTACCGACTTAGCCAGCCGTCCGTGCACTAGGATCCCATTCTCTTAGGACCATTTGTGGCCCAGTCGAGTCCCACAGATATTGGATCGCGGCTTCCTTTGGGGCCTCGAATGCTCTATCTCTCGCTCGGTCTGTAAGTGTGGAGTAAGAAGAGGAGACTACTTGGTCTGACGCAAGACTGGATTGAAGAGGGCGAGGTCAACACTATGGAGTAGTGCCGTTTGGCCCGCTGGGCTCGCAATCCTGGCCCACCCTTTGACTATCATAGATGAAGTGTAATTTCTTTTTCTCGCACCGCGTGCCGGCTTATCAGCTCGGAAGATAATGTCCTATCCACCTAGACGTTGGGATGCCTGGCCAGGCCTTCAAAGGCGATCGCGGTGATGCTGGAAAAGGGCCGATCCATGGTGATGGCCCAATTGGGAGAGGTAGAACTCCACTAGAAGCACTAAAAGCTCCTTGGTTTAAAGTCTGTCATGGACAGTCTGACACGAAAGGCAACAGGTGCGATACCATAGGCGTCCTACCAGCCGTTGGTTTATCTCGGAGGATTTGACATCGTCGGTGGCGGGTGAAAACCAGAGGCAAGTGCTGTAAGCCTGGGAAGTGAGAGACACGAAACTGATCACTAGCCGGGAGTCGATGATGAGAGGATCTAAGGTTTGCCGAAAGGGTTTGAGAGGCAACTAAAAAAGAAAACAAGAAAAGGAAAATCGAGGTAAAATGGATTCAGAGCCCAAGAAAAATTAAAAAAAAAAAGAAAAGCAAATTTAAAAGACCGAAAATGGGCAAGAAAGGAAAGGCAGCGAGGAAATTAGGTGACGCAGAATCAGGGAATAGGCAAAACAATGAAAAGGGGAAAAAAGCGCATTCCTCCTTGAGACACCACCATCGGCAGCACCCTGAGAGGAGCAAACGTACCGGTTCGCTGCGAATAATTAATTCCTTGCTGACCTGCGGCAAGCGCGCTTTGCGCGACCTGAAGCGGTTGCAGCGCAAGACCCCAGATGGGAAGAGAGTGGAGAGCTTGTCTTAGACGGTCTCGAAATCTGGGCTCATGCTGGAGAGGTGGATCGCCCGCTGAAATCTGGTAGCCTTCTTGCTTTCATTGTTCAGGTGGGCAACATGTTGTGGTTGCTGCTGCTGCTGCTCCTGGTGGTGTTGCTGCGGCCACTTTTATCGCTCAATGACTAGCATATTACTCTTCTGCAATGTATGCAATGTATGTATATGCACATCGCATCCAATCTCGCTAGTCGGTTCATGGTGTAGGGTCTGCATCCCGTGGGGAATGCAACAAAGGACTGGCTGTGACGGCTAGAGGGACTGCAAGGACACCTCATAGTACGTCAGAGTCGATTACATACTTTCTCTGAACGACTTAGTCTCGAGATAGTGTCACTGCCGCTCCGAACCCATCTGACCAGTCGCAGCGTCCGAAATGGCCAGCAGGCCCGGCACGTCAATGAAGGCTGATGGAGACCTCCTAGGTGCCTTCAATCGGTCTCCAGCATGGCAGGCAGACCCCGTAGAATTTCATAGCCGCCTAATTGATGACCGTCGTCCTCTTACGTTGGAACTGATGACCAGCCGATGCCGAGCTGATGCCGGCTCACGCAGGATCCCACGCGCTTTTTCTCGGCCCATCGCTCACTCTATCGCACAGGGGATGGAAAATGTAGGATAATCTCTCATCAATCCGGTCTGGAGACATGCCTGCCCGGCTTTCATGCTAGAGTGCGCCATTTCTTTCCCATGTCCCTTCTGCCGTCGCGAAACCGATTTCTTCTCTCCTGCGTCCGCTCCGGGGAATAAAAGACGAATACCGCTGGGGCGAAACCGCAGGAACCTGTTAGACAGGGGAATCAATGTGTTCTGAACTCGGATCGGGTTCAGCTCACGAGGTCTTTACAATCGAGGCGCACAGACAAAAATACGCGTGGGCTCCGCCTGACGATTTTCCTGGGAAGGCGCAGAGGTACCGTCACAGCCATGACTATTCTTTTCACCACCCCCATGGTATGTGAGTAAGCGCATTAAGTTCGTGCCACACTCGCTCAGCTCGAGTGAGTAGATAGGTAATGGTACCGTCGCAAGTATACTGGAGGCTTAGTACATGCTCCGGCTGCGGATCTAGAGCGGAGACGGACCTGCGCATCGTTGGGTCTACTAAGCCACTTAGAGTTCGCCTCTCGATGGGTCCTCCTCCCCGCGTTCACCAGAAGGCCCCAGTCGACTTTGATTTTGACAAATTGCTGGATATTTTGGTTGGATCATGTGGATGCTGTCAGGTCTTTTTCTTTTTTTCGGGGCGGCGAATTGCGGCTTTTGCGGGGAAAGACAGAACGTATCAGAAACCGACCCAATGTACTGAATCCGGAATGTAGAAATCCCCTTGTTGATATCGTCTGACCTAATGATGATCCCGGACACTATAACCTGCCGTCTTGAATATAATTGGGGCCATTACCCTCACCGGGGGAAAGGTTTCGCCATCTTTAGTGCGGCCCTGGTCTGGTTTGCATTGCGAAGGCTTTGATATATAAGAGTGGTCAAAGATTCTTCGCAAACCGGCCTCTATCCTCAACCATCTCCATTTTTGTGTCAGAGCTTATCTTATACTTTTCCGTACAAAGTACTCTCGGCGGGCAATGAATACCTCTATATGCGTTGGAGTCGCGTTTGCGTTTCTTTTCCTTATCATTTCGAAGATCCGAACGACCCTCTTGTCAAGACGGGTCTTCACACCAAGCAATGAGGTGAACTGCAGTGACCTCAAGCCATACCCGGCTCAACCCATCAAAGGTCGAGAGAGGTACCGAGTGATGATGGACGTCCGCAGGTTAGACGTGGTAAACTGGCTCACTGTCGACAACAACTACATGGATGAGCATGTTGTTCGGGGTCAATTACTGGAGAAGGAAAAGAGTAAAGTGCTGCAATGCCTCCCAGAGTCATACGACGCGTGCATGGAAGCATTGGAGGAGGTGGTCGACTTCCTTTGTCAACGGTTCTCGAGCGTGTTCGAACGAAAGAAGTCCGGTAACGAGTGGACTATCCATAACAAGATGACGGGTGAGACGTTTGTCTTTGGTGGAGAGAATAAGGAAATCGATCCGCTCGAGGTTGCCGTGAGGTTGACGATGGAGGATCTGAGCATCCTGATGAAGAACGAAGACGACGAATACTATCTGTTAGTATACACCATCGCGACCCATTATCGTATGCTCGGACAGTAACTGATGATTCGGCAGAGCGGCCAGCGCAAGTCTATTCCCGGTGGGATGGACGGTGCAGGAACGCATCGGATGGACGATCTCTAAACTTCACAATCCTGTGCCTTTGTGGCACCAGCAAGTCGCTAACTCTGTCAGCAAGTGAGTGGCTTCCTTCATAGCTCAGCCGCGATGAGTGAGGAGAGAAATGCGGTAACTAATTTCTTCAAATTAGATTTCTTGCTCGTCTGACCCCAGAGTCCCCGATGGAAAGATCCAATTACTTCGTCGAAGTAAAAAGACCTGACGAAGAACTGTTCGATATCCTCTACCGCCCGACTTCGTTGTCCGAAGACAATCCAGATCCATCCCCGCAGGATATTGTGATTCGACGTGAGCGTCAGACATTCCGTCGATTACCTCGTACGGGAGCGATTGTGTTCGGTGTCAAGACTTTCTTGACAACATTGGAGGAACTGCCAATGCAAGAGCTGCAAAATCTCGCAAAGGAGATCAAGAGTTGGCCCGAGTATGTGGGAGAATACAAGGGTCGGGAAATTTGGGGACCAAGAGCACTCGAGTTTTGTGAAAAGAAAACTCGGATGATGGAAAAGCAGGAGGTCTAATGAGAGGAAGGAAGAAAAAAAGGAACGGAATGAAGGCAGGCACGGAAACAGCTTGGTGGTATTTTGCCTTTCACGCTTCACGCTTCACGCTTCGTATCCCTTTGTTGCATCTGGACCAGCAAAATCGACGGAGAGGGCGGCTGTCTGATGATTATTTGCAAAAGTCACTGTCCTTAGCATTGCATCTGTACTTTTGAGCCTGTTTTGTTTTGTTTTGTCTTGATATCCGTTGTTGGGCTGGTTGTCTGTCTATCTGTCTGTCTATCTGTCCGTCTGGTTGGTTGACTGGTGGTTATTTGTTCTGTTCCTGGCGGTTCTACTCATTGGCATGGTCGAAATTGGGTGGTTTGTATGATTAATGACGAATGAGGATGACGTATTTCATGGGATGAAACGAAGCCAGTATAGAGAAGCCGATAGATGGACCAATGAATTGGAACATTTATCGAGTATGCAATAATTATATAGAGAATATTGTATGTTCAAATGACAGTTCTACTAAATGCAGGACGGGTATATTATGTAGGTGTCACATTCATCAGATCTTAGATCGTGGCGAATCATCCTGCTTGAGCCGTACGACACCCTGGTTCTCTCCAGCATTAGCACTGACTCAAACCAAGTGGGGACTTCGAATACGTAGGACAGCCATACCTCTTGCGTGCATGTGGCGATAAGGATTCCATCTTTGGACCAGAACTTCTGAAGAACCAAGCCTCTTCCCTCGCCAGCCCACGGACTTTCCATCTCGGAGAACATCCATTCGTCTGCCCGGAATGCCCAGGGATTGTGGAAGTAGATTGAGTGGTCAAGGCTTACCATCATGCCCACTTCCTTGTGTTCTTTGGGGTCCTGACTCGTAGCCTTGCTCAAAGCGCCCTCTAAGCGACGGCGAAGCTCCACGGTCTCTTCCTCTTTCAGCTCCTTCAGCGCACGTGCAATGTCTTCATCATCTAGATCTGACGGGTTCTTGAGAGCTTTGAGAAGCTTCTCGAGCTCAGCCGGCGAGGAAAAGCGTGGGATATCGTGAACTCTCGACACAGTGCCAATGAAATAGCTGTCGGTAATGTATGCAAGGGCGGATAGGTGGGCACGGTGTCCTCCTGCATCGGATATCTTCCCTCGTGACCGGAAAAACCGTCTGACCTTTTTGTCTTCCGGGGCCAAGTGACCTACCAATTATTAGTCCACGACGTCAAGGGAGACCCATCACTCTGCGTTCGAATACTGACGATTTACAATCCCCGCTCTGTGTGATTCGAATGGTCCGCCGCCCGATTGTTGGAATGCCCGTTTGGCACCAGGTTCCGACTCCTCTGGTAGCGCGACGGATGGCATAGATGAGGCATGCTCAAGCCTTTTCCTACCGCCACTGTTGGCTTTGCTGAAACTCAGTGTGGTGGTGAAAATAGGCCGACCGTGCTGCCTAGCTTGCACCGTGCGGGTGATGAAACTTCGACCGTCGCGGACCCGCTCGACGTGGTAGACGATGGGGATTTCAGAGTCGCCGGCCAAAACGAAATAGCAATGCATGCTGTGGACGGCAAAATCATCGGGGACAGTTCGCATCGCGGCGGCAAGAGATTGGGCGATGGCGGCACCGCCGTAAATGCCTCGTGCGCCCGGAGGATGCCAAAGAGGTCGCGTGTTTGTGAATACATCCTGGTCGGATTAGGCGGAATCAGAATTAGCCCCTCAAATGAAGAAAGAAAGAGAGAAAGGAGCAAGTGTCATACTCTGCCTACGTCAACCACAGGGGTCAACTCTAAGACGTTCTCTATCGGCGCCTTCGAAGGGTCCAGTGGCGGGGGTTCGAACAAAGTCACGGATTTAGCCATAGTGGGCATATACAGTCCCTAACAAGCACAGGAAGTAGTCTTGATTGATTGCAAGTCGCTGACCTATGAAGGGCGCTCTTTTAATTTGAAGCCCAAGTCGGAAAAAGGGTCAGGGTCCAGGAGTCAAGACAGCTTTTGGAGGGGAAAGTTGGAGTCTTCACTTTCCAAGTCCCGCCCTGCTGTTCCGCGCGGTCTGTCCCAATCGGGCAATTGCCGAGGTTCCATTTTTGTGGATCGGGTTATGAAATGATCTTCATGGATAGAGTCGTTCGTTAGGTCGTGGTTAATGCACATTGATCTGGTATAATGGGGTGTCAAGACGAGATTATTCAGTGTCAGCCTCGGCATGACTTGGAAAGTGCGACCGTCAACGTTTCAGATGACAGCTGTTGCACAGCGGCTCTATAATGACTATAGATGCTGTGCTTGCACATGCTCCATTCTGTCAAACGTGATGCTGAAACCTGATGTACGGCGGGTATGTCTGCCAGAGGCGTGAAAGGTCGATTGTTGAAATATGAAATTCAATGCACTTCCTGTCTACCTTGAGCGGCACTCATGGCTGATCTATTTTCAGACTCTACAAGATTAGGCACCTATCACAAACGGTTTCCTAGGCTGCGCTGAAAGTAGACCCAAAAGAGTGAAATGGTAGAGAAGAAGATTCAAAGACACAGCTCTTTAAGCCGGTGGCCCAGTGCCACAGCTATATACTCTAGATTCGCTATGTTTCAGATGCTGTTAACAAGCGACAACTAGACTGGATCGGAAACCTGGAAAAGGTACTGCAAATTATGATATAATTGACTACAACAAGAGTGAGCTTTCGGATGCATCGACGAGATCAGAAGTGTTGCTGTTCTCTGCAACTGTTTTGAGCAACCGTTACCACATAAAACACATATCCAATATCCTCAAGGAATCCGGGGGCATCTCATCGAAAAAAATTTTCCTCCCGAGGAGGAGGTATGAAGGTATCCCAGCCCTTGCCAGGATTAACCAGCTCGGGAGCCTTGACTTGGAATGTCTTGTTGTACACCTTGGAGCTTCGCTTCTTCTGAGAGGACTCTGGTTCTAAAAGTCGCTGTAATTGCTGGCGCTGCATCTCTTCATCAGTCAAGCGCGGGCGATGGCGATCACCCGCTCGAGATAAACCGGGGATGTCCCACGCATGGGCACATAAAGCCCCAAGGCCAGAAAGAAAGGCGAAGGTGCTGGGAAGGCCAAGGCTGACGATTTCCAAGCTGCCCATAGGGAGCAGATTTCGACAAATGACGTTGAGCAGGACGTTCAAGAGAGCGAGGAGGTTTGAACACAGGCAAGGTCTGAAAAAGCATTAGCTGGATGGAATGGAAGATCCTCAAGGCGCACGTACAGAAACAGAGAATAAAGCAGGAAATTGCGGTCCTGAGGCTTAAAGCAGACGACTGCGAGCGACAAAGAGTATGCAATGGCGATGAGGATGAAAGCTGCGATTGTCGTGGGTGTCTTATTCGCAGGGAACTCGGCCTCGTCATCCCCGAATGCTAGAGGGAGAACTAGAAACCTTCACAAACAGACTTATCAGCACCTTGTTCTATGCGCTATTTGCGATGGACAGGGACACACCCCACAAGAAGCACTTGCGACGAAAATGCCGCGGAGAATTTCCATAGTGGACTGACGAGCTGTAGCGGTATATGTCGCTCCTGCGATGCTACAGAGAGTTCTTGAAGTTGAGGGGTAGACATCGCAGGTGATCCCCAGCCTACAGCTTCTGTGAGGGTCAAGGCAGCATCGACAGAAGCTGTCATCGGTGTGGTCTTGGGTGTAACTTGAATCAAAATGAGCGCGAGGAGCAATACGTAAGGGAGGCGATGTTTGATCTAAAAACCGGCGGTCAACGAAGTAACCACGACGATACGGCGCGGAAAGTGCGATGTACGATGCAGATATTGTAGTAGAAGACGATGGCTGTGCAGCTGATGGACGGATTCGAGGCGCATGGCAGCAGGGGTAGGGAAAGCAACCGGTGCCAGTAAGAAAAATAAGATGGCAATTATAGAACGTGGTCACAGGGGTCGTGCATCATAATCTCTCGCATTCATTTGATCAAAACCTTGACGGCCGCGACTGATAGATTTCAGCGGGCGAATGGCGTGGAGTCAATGGCTGCATACTAGTTTAGTGCTGCTGCTATAGCTTCATCTATTTCGCGGTTGCTCAGGAGTATTCAATGTCGATCAGTCTTGTATAGCTCGCAACCCACGTGTGATGCAAGTTGCCATTTTCCATATGTGCGAGGGCTTACTCCGTTTTCTTTCTCCCCCCCCCCTCTCCCTGTGTATTACTAGATCGTTATCTTATGCATGTCTGGGGTCAAATCCCTCACAAGACACCCAGAATGAGTAGTTTGAGAACGGCAGGAATTGAAGTGGTGGGTGGGGGGGGGGGGGGGGGGGCTTGGAAATCGACCGAAGGATTTTGCTCTGGCCCGAGCACTTTATCAGCAACAGTCGACAACAGCCTGTCGATTTATGTGGCCCCACTAGCTTGCAGAACCTATCTTGATTCTTGAGGTCTGAAAGGAGACCAATCTGTTTTTTTTTTTTTTTTTTTGGATGGCTTATAGTAAATATGTAGTCCATACTTATATTCTCAGGCCCCCGAGACGCTTCTCTTCTTCCTCAGCTGTATGGATTTCGTGTTCTGCGTTGATCAGGCGTTTCATGATATGAGTAGTCTCCAGGAAGTTCGCAATGATACTAAGGGTCCCTAGTCGACATTGAGATTCTCTCGTTGTCTTGGCGGGCTTCGTATTGCCGGCGGCCTTGTACGTTAGATCCGGCTGAATTCCGTTGACTTGGAGTATCACAACAAGCCCATACAAGCTGAAGCAAGCCGGACTTGTCGATTGTCCAGTCTCTAGACGCTATAGCAATTCTTGAGTCACGAAACCCCGGAGAATTCACAGAAGTACTGCAGCATATATCGTCATCGAATACTTATAGTCAAGCCTTGGGACACCAGAGGCGAAATCATCATGGCAAGTCGAGAAGTCATATCAGACTATGTAATTCTAATGTTCTTGAAACTTGTGGTTAGTGGAAGCCAGCCCTGGGTTAGCTCAATTCTGCCACTTTTGTCAAGTCCGACGAAAATACAACGCTGATGCTGAAAACCGTTTCTCCTGCGCTTTTGAACCCGCCCATACCATCACAAATACTCAATGTCTCGACCGGGAACCACTCCCATCAATGGTGATGAATGGTATACCCCTCGAATAATATCCATAAAACAACATATAGTTCCTTCTCGGACGAACTTGGATTGCCCATGGCACATGTGAGGCCGGAAAAGTTTCAAGAAATTGCTATGCTGGATGAAGCCTGGGGTTGTCGGCCGTGGATTTAGCAAATGAGGCAATATCTCCTAGAACCTGAGCAGCATGAACACTAGCTGATGTAATTCGATTCCTCGAATCAGTTGCATTGCTCTCCGGGTGCATATACAAATTCGCACCTCTGTCAGTGCCGGACATTCGCCTCTTCCTGAGAGTACAATTGACAGCAAGACATTCTTCATGGCGTTGTAGAGATCGCCAAAAGGATACACGAGTTTTTCTTTCGCAATATGGCAGAATTCTCACTGGTTTTTTATTGTCATATTTCGCGTTCTTCCGTCGGATGCTCTGACTTGAAAGCTGACGGAGCCTTGGGTATGTGTCAACCTTGAAGCTGATGCAGGGTAGCAGGTAATGCGACAAACCGGAGCGGAGGTCGCACGGCGTCAAACCTTGTATATGATGTATCGACTCTTCCAGGGGCCATTGTTCAGTCGTAGGCGTCGCCCGGCGGAAGTACGAGAACTGTAAAATGTATCAAAATCATAGAATAGTCTATGAGTAGCTCTGAAATCATGTGAATGACAGCTTGTCTCTCGAACGTATGGATCAGGCTTCAGATTTAGATAGCTACATCGTCAGCATCATTGAAAGATAGGCCCGCATTACATCAGTTCCGCATCGCATCCGTGAAGAAGCTCTCAGGGACAGAGACACAATCGAGACATTTGAACACCTTGTGAGCGACAGGGTGTAGAGTTTAGCATGAAGGATGAGATCCGCCTGGAAATCTCGGTCGGCTTCCCGTTGACCGAAGGGGATTTATGCGCCAATTCGGGATCTCGTCGGGCTGGGCGGAGTTCCAAGGATTCAGGTTCTTTTACGGTCAAAGAGAATCCGAGGTCAATTGAATATTGCTAGTCCTCGTAGCGATATGCGTGTCAATTTAAGGATTGATAGGGAAGAATGGGAGAAAAGGCCATCACTACCTAGGTAACCATGGAGGATGTCATCGTGTGTGTCTCTCTCTTCATCGAACAAGTATAGCGGGTAACAAACGGGAGAACGGGAACTGGAATGCCTCAGGCTTGGGTGAGGGCTTATCAGGATTTTACAGTAACAACAGTATTAACAATATTACTTGTTGGTAGAAAAGCCACCTGCCACTTGTCGAGTATTTCCCAAGATCCCAGGACTCAATAGTAGACGAGTGATTGGGAGATTGGGAGTGATTCAGTCAGCCCTATTACCCTACCAATGCTATCATTAGCATTACTCAATGCCTTATGCTATGACGACGTTGTTTTTTTTTCCCTTCAATCATTTTTGCCATCATTATTGCCATGTGTTGACCGGGAGATCGGATTTAAAGCGGTTCCAAGGCGCGGTGCACTGGCAGCGAAAAGTTTTCGGGTTCCGCTAGCCACTAGGGCCAAAAGCAGCGAGGTTCCGGCCATCCCTTTCAAACTAGTCCTAGTCGACTTTCACTCCCCTCCCCCGTTGCCGGCCGCCTCCCGAGTCCATTTTCTTCCTTTCCAATCTCTGCAAAGCTTCAAACGCTTCGCTCTTCTTTCCCTTCCCCCACACTCCTCTCCTCCTTTTCCTTTTGTTCTTCTATAACATCCCATATACCCTTCCATACATAATGTCCGCCACTACCCCTAAGGCCGACGCGCCTACTGGCCTCGCCCTTTACTCCAGATTCGCCTTCGCTGGTGCTGTCTGCTGTTCCGTCACTCACGGAGCTCTCACTCCTGTCGATGTGTAAGTCGGACACCGTCTCGTCTCGCCCACGTCGCAATTGAAGAACGCGCTCGGTATTCCCGCCTGTGCGCGCGCTTGATCGACTTGCCTATCCTGCCATCCGACCATGCCCGTTGCTGACGTCCTCTCTCTTTCTCGTGCCTTGCAGCGTCAAGACCAGAATCCAGCTTGACCCGGTCACCTACAACCGTGGTATGATTGGTGGTTTCAAGCAGGTCATTGCCAACGAGGGTGCTGGCGCTCTCCTCACTGGTTTCGGTCCTACCGCTGCCGGTTACTTCCTCCAGGGTGCTTTCAAGTTCGGAGGTTACGAGTTCTTCAAGCAGCAGTGGATTAACCAGCTCGGTTACGAGACTGCCTCCAACAACCGCACCGCTATCTACCTTGCCTCTTCCGCCACCGCTGAGTTCTTCGCTGATATCGCCCTGTGCCCCCTTGAGGCCACCCGTATTCGTCTTGTCTCCCAGCCTACCTTCGCTTCCGGTCTCATGAGCGGTTTCGGTAAGATCCTCAAGAACGAGGGTATCGGTGCTTTCTACTCTGGTTTCGGTCCTATGCTCTTCAAGCAGTATGTCTTTCCGCGACTTCCCGGCCGCCCGCGCCCATAAATAAGGATTTGCGCCATTGCTAACTTCCGGCAGGGTTCCTTACACCATGGCCAAGTTCGTTGTTTTCGAGAAGACTGTCGAGGCTGTCTACGGCTTCGTTGACAAGAACTCTGTCTCTGAGGGTGCTAAGACTGGTATCAACCTTGGCTCTGGTCTCATTGCTGGTTTCGCTGCTGCCATCGTCTCCCAGCCCGCCGACACTATGCTCTCCAAGATCAACAAGACCCCCGGTGAGCCTGGTGAGGGTACCGTTTCTCGTCTCATTAAGATCGGTAAGGAGCTTGGTCTCCGTGGCTCTTACGCCGGTATCGGTGCTCGTCTCTTCATGGTATGCTCAGCCCTCAAACGACGACAGATTTGGACTTTGAAGGCTAATTTCCTCTCCAGGTTGGTACCATCACCGCTGGTCAGTTCGCCATCTACGGTGACATCAAGGTATGTGGATCTCTGTTCGTCAGCTGCTTCCAAAGCAGATCGCTAATTGAGTATTGTAGCGTCTCCTCGGTGCCACTGGTGGTGTTGAGATTGGCAAATAAGCGTCGAATTGTACCATTACTTGACTATGTTAGACCTTTAGTTCTGATACAATGCATATATATTAGATTAGAGCATGATTCTTGGAGGTTGGATCCCGCCGACGCCACCAACGGCGGTTTGTACCAATCCGGCGTAGGTACTGCTGATCGTATCGGTTGGGAATAGTATACTAGTATACTTGAAGCGTTACTGTATGTTTGTCATGATATCAGGGATCGAGATGACTTGCGTAACTTACTATATGTGTGGTTAACATTCGCCCATGAACACATCAGTATAGGAGTGGAGTGTCAAAGCACCCATAGCCCTTCACCACACTCATGTCATCCACGTCGGTATGCTTGGTTTTGTATGACCACCCAGCAACTGTGTTGCTTAGGAATTCAGAGCCCTCTGTTGTCTTCTTCCAGATACAGGTCCCAATCACGCCGAGCTCCGATACGACCGGGCCCGAGCCAATCCCCTGCGGCGACATGAGCACATTATATACCGCCGGCGAGTGGATGCGCTCCATCAAGATGTATGCACACCACGCGGAACGCGCAACCGAAGCCAGAAAGTCAGGTATATTCGCCCCATAGACATTGTGACCCCCACCCTCAAGTGACGGTTTCAACACGTAGTTCCTCGCGACATCTGAATCAGTTGCCCAGTTTCGAGCCTGCAGACCCGCTTGGGACTCATCCAGCGGATACATGGGTACAAACGTCTTTCTGATCTTGGCCGCCTTGTTCGGTGACAGGAACCTCTCCACAGATCCGGGCTCTGTGAGGGCTTGCTGAACCTTCTTAAAAGTGAGGATCTGTGCCAATAATGATGGGCATTTGATGGCTCGGGATGTCTCCAATCGGACTCGCGCCATCTTGCCTACATGGTCGTATTCGTCGGCTTCGTAGCCTGCGCGCAGGTAGACGACGGAGATCTCGATTGGGACTTGTGACTGCAGCCACGGTGGGTGAAAGAGCAGCTCTTTCGTTTTGGACAGGGATGTGTGTTCGAGTAGATTGTCGCCCCATTCGACACGGTAGGCTGGGACGGGACTGGCTTGATTCCACAGCGCATATTCGACGGGCCGCTCGTCAGCAATGTTGAAGTTCTGGGGCTGGACAAGAAGGAGGACTGCTGTTTCTGCAGCTACCTTGCTCTTTGCTTGCCCATAGAGGGTGTGCGCTCCAGCGAGGCAGGCAGCTAGTGATTGAATATTGTTGTTTTCGGGCAAGGCAGCAAGACCAACAGGTGAATTCCCGTTTGTGAGGGAATTGTATGCCCCTGTACGGGTGAAATGGCGGTGCATATCCACGGTCTTTTGTGCATGGGATGCCCCGGCGCAGGAGAAGGTATTGAACTCCACTTGCTTCAGCTGCGGGATGGAGATAGAGCCGTCGGCTGGGTCAATAGCCAGCTTGGAGGTTCCGTCGCCTTGAAGCATGTAGTCCGAACGGAATATTCCACATGAAATATTTTGGGTGTACCCACCTACGCGCTTAACGTCTTGGTGTATCTCCCACAGAGCCGCAGCAAGCGGGTTGACGTGAAGTATTTCCTGTAGCGTTGTCTGTATCCAATGCTCGTCTTCGGTCATAGCACAGTACAGCTCGTTATAGATGCTCTGCAATTTTAGTGCTTGATCGAATTGCGCTCGAGGGAATGGCGTCGGGAACAGCGTGACTCCGATGGGACAGCAGAGGACACTGTGTGCAGATTGGCTGCGCACGCGCTTGAGCATGAAGCCATGATTTATTTGCCAATCTTGAACGCTGGAAGCCAGCCAGAGGCCTTGCTCCTCGGATAGTGGCGGAGGGTACATGTCAGGTTATTGTTCACATGGATGTACAGTAGAATTGACACCATTGATCATCTTATCTCAAACACGGATACAACATAGTGAGAGAGTAGCAGTCTGCTCACCACAGAGCTGTGCACTGCCACACTGCCTCGTGGCCTACCTAGTACTGATGGGCCTATGACTGATGCGCATGTGAACGATTGTCTTTTGGCACTTGAACTGATTAAGTGTCAATCTGATTCTATTCCTAATGTAGTTAGCGCACTGACTCCACCGTATCCGCTTCGGTGCCTGAGGATTGCCGCTCTTCCTCCGCCGCCGCCGCCGCCCCCGAATCTGTGCTTGTGCCTGGCCATTGTCACATCTCCATTGATAATCATCCACTTTGATCATGCTCTAAACTCCTCCGATCGCTTGCCATGTTGACCCTGTATTCAGGGCTCCTTCGGGCCCTTCCCTTCGTTTTTCTTCTATTTACAGTCTCCGTAACCTCTGAGCATACGTCGAACTGGGCAGTTCTCGTCTCCACCTCTCGCTTCTGGTTCAACTACCGCCACCTCGCCAATGTCCTTTCCCTCTATCGCACCGTTAAGCGGTTGGGTATTCCTGACTCGCAAATTATCCTAATGCTCCCTGACGATATGGCCTGCAACCCCCGCAACGCTTTTCCTGGAACCGTTTACAGTAACGCCGACCGCGCAGTCGATCTCTATGGCGACAACATCGAAGTCGACTATCGCGGTTACGAGGTCACCGTGGAGAATTTCATTCGCCTCCTGACCGACCGTCTCGACGAGGATGTGCCCCGCAGCAAGCGGCTTGGTTCCGATGCAGGAAGCAACGTTCTGGTATACATGACCGGCCATGGAGGCGACCAGTTCTTGAAGTTCCAGGATTCTGAGGAGATTGGGGCATGGGATCTGGCGGATGCCTTTGGTCAGATGTGGGAAAAGAAGCGTTACCATGAGCTTCTGTTCATGATCGATACTTGCCAGGCCAACACCATGTATACGCATTTCTACTCGCCCAACATCATTGCTACCGGATCGAGTGCGCTCGACCAGTCCTCGTACTCCCACCATGCGGACAGTGATGTGGGTGTAGCGGTGATTGACCGGTGGACATACTATGTGCTGGAGTTTCTTGAAACGCAGGTAACGAGTGCGAACTCGAAACAGACCCTGGGCGACCTCTTCGATTCTTACGATGAGTCCAAGATCCATTCCCAGCCTGGTGTGCGGTGGGACCTCTTTCCTGGCGGCGAGCAGGAAGGTCGCCTGCGGACGGTGGTCGACTTCTTCGGAAATGTCCAGAATGTCGAAGTTGAGAATGTCAATGGCACTGAACCGGGCTCCCTCAAGGAGGACCTCATTGAGATCGCCCGGCTAGTTGAGAAATGGCGCACACACGACCGGGACATGTTTGCCGGGCATAATGACTCAGTTCTGCAGGCTGGGGCAGCCGTTTCACGTCCGGAGTCAGATATACACCATCAGTTGTCCCCGCATCACACTGTCAAGATGAAGGTTGGACCCGCGAGGATGACCGAGGAGTCCACCTGGGAGAAGCGGTTCATTGGATTGACTGTGCTTAGTGCATGTGCTGCCGTCTGGCTCGGCGGCTCTGTCCTAGGCGCGAGCTCTGCTTGATATGAGTTGTCGTATAGCGTGTAAAGCGTGTCAGTTTTCGTATATTCTATTCGTGTTCATTTTCACTATACCTAAGCTCGTTCATTATGAATCTTTCTCTCTCTCTCTTTTTCTTCCTTCTTCGCAAGATCACGAAACTACTTGCTTATCAAAGGACTTGCTAACCAAGATGATTGTGATTACTGGGCGTAGTGGCGCAGAGGAACAGGCGGCAATTGCTTTTCTGACCATATTCAGTCAAGCAATGATCGCAAACGCAAATCTCTCTGGAACCACAAAATAGGAGCTCTGCAACCGAGTATGATTTCATCGATCTTAGGACGAACTCATACAAGGCAATTAGATCCTTGGTCTGATTACGGAGGAATTCATGTTCATTCGCATGTGGTGCAACATCTAACTATAAGCAGGAACGAACCCCTCTGTGACAGACAGGTACAGTACAAGCGCGTAATACGAGAGACGGAAGTGTGTGAGAAGAATTGGAAACATTGTCAGCCCTTCCCTCGCAACACCAGCAACTGAAAGTATGCCGAAGGTCTCCAACAAAAAGAGCAAAAGGAAAACAGGAAAGAGAGAAAGAGCAAGGGAAAGCTGAGGGAAAGGGGAAATTCTTCAGTGGAAACCAATTGAAATCGGGAGTAAAGCAATGAATCCTAAAAGAGAAAAAGAAGGCTTGGCAGCAACTCGACCTCCGCACGTGCCAGACGCGTCGTCGGGCCCTGGAGATGCGCGACGGGAAAACCGATTATTACTTCGTTACTTCTGTTAACTTACTTTAGCCGCTCAACTGCCCTACTTTGCCCTCTCTTGACTCGATCTCAATTGTCCCCAATAAACATCCTACCCCTCTTAGACAATGGAGTCTTTGACCTTCTAGAATTTGTTCTTCCCTTTACTTGCAAAAGATTGCTCCTCCTACTTCTCTCCCTCCCATTGTTATCCCACCATCTTCCCATAAACCCCCCCACGGAGTTGGGGCCTGTGGAAGGGGGCGCTTTCTGTCGCTGCTGCTGCTACGGCTGCTGCTCCTCGCACTTCACTGTCTACTTTATCAGTTTGTTGAAAACTTTCCCCCGAATACTATCATTAACCCGAGCATACATACGCGCGCGCGTGTGTGGAGGTGATTCTCGATAAGAACTTACCCACCTAAAGAAAAGACCGGCCCAACGGACCCTATCTTCACGTTCGAGTCGAGGAGAGAAGTAGTGCGGCGGGGGTGTGTCTTTTCGCGCCTTGCTTAGTTTTCACCCGCCGCCATGTATCTCCCTCGTCAACTCATCTCCCATCTATACCTACAATTACTCCGCTCACATCACCCATTGTCCCCGCCGGTGCTGATCCTCGTCGCCCTTGAACCCGATGCGCTCTGTGCCTGTCGAATCCTGACCGCCCTACTCAAGCGCGACTATATCCCCCACAAGATCCAACCCGTGGCCGGCTATGGTGATCTCTCGCGCGCCGGCGAGGAGCTGGTTAAGCCCATGCGGACGACGAATGGCGGTAGCGGGGGTGTTGTCATCTGTCTCGGGGTGGGTGGCTTGGTTGACCTGACGGAGAT